GGGGGGGCTATACCGTCCGTTTATACAAAACTGAGAACCCTTTGGCCAATGATGCTCCTGACCAAGCTTCAGACTGCATTTGGTTTAAATCCCTTCACTTGTATAGTAGGAGAGAAAAAATCCTCTACTTCCCCTATTTGGCCCCGCCCCTCTGCCCCCAAAGAGACCACACCCTCTGTTTATACAAACTTGAGTCTCCTTTGTCCAAAGATGCTCTAGGACAAATTTGGTCAAAATCCTTCTATTGGTTGAGAAGAAGAAGATTTTTAAAGATTTACCTATTTTCCCTCTATTTGGCCCCGCCCCTCTGCCCCCAGGGGGGTTATACCCTCCGTTTATACAAAACTGAGAACCCTTTGATGCTCCTGACCAAATTTGGTCAAAATCCTCTGAGCCATTCAGGACAAGTAGCATTTTAAAGGAAAAAGTTGACGGACACCGGACGCCGGACGCCGGACGCCGGACGCTGCACCATGGGATAAGCTCACTTGGCCCTTCGGGCCAGGTGAGCTAACAAATGCTGGTCCAAAATGCAATTTCCCCATATAAACTATAGTAAAGTTTACCCCCTCCCCAGGGGAAAACGTGAGACCCCTCGGGTCATGAAATTCACAATTTTGGTAAAGCCACTTAAGACCCTTCCATCTATGAAGAGTATTTGATTCTACCATATCTCGATCTTGAGAAGATTTTTGAAATTTAGTCAATTCAACCCTTTTTGGCCCTGCCCCTCAGGCCCCTGGGGGCTAGGGACCATATAATTCACAATTTTGGTTGAACTTTGGCCATGCATAATTTCATCGAAATTGGTTAAGGGGTTTTGGAGAAGAAGTCGAAAATGTAAATTGTTTATGGACGCATGACGGACGCCGCCAGACAAAAGGCGATCGCAATAGGTCACTTGAGACTTTGTTTCAGGTGACCTAATAATACAAGAGGCCCAGATTGCCTGTATCACTCACTTGGATCTTTATGTCCTGCAATGGTTTATATGGCTATGGGTTCAGGATCTTATCCATTTCAGAGTTATGGCCCAGAAGTTAAGTCTACTAATATCATAATTGTGTTCGTCTGTTGATGCCCAGCAATGGTATGTATGGTTATGGGGTGGGGATATCAATTGTTTCAAAATTATGACCCAATAATGAAATCCCTAGTGTTGGAACAAGTCCCAAAGGTCAATAATCAAATATGACTGTATCTATCTCTTTATGCCTGTCAAATGTATATATAGTTATGGGGTGGGGATCTCAACCATTTCAAAGTTATGGCCTAATAATTAAGTTCCTAGGAGTGGGGCCAGACCTAAGAGTCAATATTGATATCATGATTGAGTTCATCTCTTGATGCCCAGCAATGGTATATGGTTATGGGGTGGGGATCTCAACTGTTTCAAAGTTATTGCTCAGAAATCAAATCTCAACGGCTGGGGTCAGACTCCAGGGTAAATTATTTTATCATGATTGTGTTTATCTCTTAATGCTCAGCAAATGTTTACATGTTTATAGGGTGGGGATCTCCATAATGTCCAACTTTAAAAGACCTTCAACTGGTCCGTTTTTGAATCCTCAACCACAGAGGAATGCTCCAAACCAAATATGGTTAATATCCATCACTTTGTTACAGAGAAGTCACTTTGAGATATATGGCAAAATTATCCCTTTTTGGCCCCACCCCTCAGGTCCCAAGGGAGCCACACCCTTCGTTTATGCAAAATTTAAATCCTCCTGCCCAAGGATGCTCTATACTAAATTTGGTTCAAATCCCTCCATTGATACAGAAGGAGAATAGTTTTAAATGATTAACCTAAATTTCCCCTATTAGGGCCCCGTCCCTATGCCCCCAGACAGGTAAATTTCCCCTATTAATACAAGATTGAGTCCCCTTTACACAAGGATGCTCTACACAATATTTGGTTTGGACCCCTCCACTGATACAGAAGGAGCAGGATTTTAAACATTTTTCCATATGTTCTCCCTAATGGGCCCCGCCCCTCTGGCCCCAGGGGAGCCACACCCTCCATCTATACAAAATTGAATTCCCCTTGCCTAAGGATATATTTGACAAAATTTGATTAAACTCCTACCATTTGTACAGAAGGAAAAGACATTTAAAGATTTACCTCAATTTCGCCTATTGGGCCCTGCCCCGGGTGCCCACATCATCCATTTATAGAAAATTGAATGCCCTTAGGCTGAGGATACTTCAGGTCAAATTTAGTTAATATCCACTTAGCCCTTTAGGACTAGGACCGTTTTAAAGGAAAAGTTGATGGACGAGGGATGCTGCACCATGCCTTTCAGGCAGGTGAGCTAATAAAAAGTATTCTATACCTTTATCTTAACCATTTAAACTTTGTTACATCTAACCCACATGTACTGTTAATGCTTTCTGTAAAGTTTACAGAATTGTTACATTCTAGAACATGACCAAGAAATATCTTATATCAAGTTAATACATAAGTCACTAACTTACCCAAGGTACTTGAGTCTGCAGCTGAAGAAAGATGACACAGCATGGGTGACCGCTGTGTATCGCACTTTAGGCGAGTCGCCCGCCAGTCCTGTCCCCAGGAGGATCCCTAACAAACAAACAGAGGCTATAGTTGTAACTAAATCTAGGAATACCAATATATTTAATGTGCAGACAGGAGTTTCTAGGAATGTCTGTAACAAGAGGCACAAGGCCTGTATTACTCACATGGATACTCTCAGAAAATATTCTCATTAAAAGTTACATTGCAAATAAGTCTCCAGGGGAGGTGCGAGAACCATGCGTTAATCCTAGTAGCATGATAGTGGTGGTTTAATCATGATCAGCAAGCATAGTAATAGTGTACTCAACCACTTCTAACTACTGACCAAAGGAATCTAACTACTGACCAAAGGAATCTAACTACTGACCAAAGGAACCTAACTACTGACCAAAGGAATCTAACTACTGACCAAAGGAAATAGTCCAGTGGGGAGAGTATTATCTCAAAAGGAAATAGTCCACTGGGGAGAGTATTATCTCAAAAGGGAATAGTCCACTGGGGAGAGTATTATCTCAAAAGAAAATAGTCCACTTGGGAGAGTTTTATCTCATGTCCAGCAATATTTCAATGTACAGACCATGGGACTATGTCACAAGGAGCAGGGCCAGAGCCCAGTGTTAGACCATGTCACAAGGAGCAGGGCCAGAGCCCAGTATCAGACCATTGGACTATCTCACAAAGAGCAGGGCCAGAGCCCAGTGTCAGACCATGAGACTATCTCACAAGGAGCAGGGCCAGAGACCAGTGTCAGACCATGGGACTATGGCACAAGGAGCAGGGCCAGAGCCCCGTGTCAGACCATGGGACTATCTCACAAGGAGCAGGGCCAGAGCCCAGTGTCAGACCATTGGACTATGTCACAAGGAGCAGGGCCAAACCCAGTGTCAGACCATTGGACTATCTCACAAGGAGCAGGGCCAGAGCCTAGTGTCAGACCATTGGATTATCTCACAAGAGACCATTGGACTATGTCACAAGGAGCAGGGCCAGAGCCCCGTGTCAGACCATGGGACTATGTCACAAGGGGCAGGGCCAGAGCCCAGTGTCAGACCATGAGACCATGGCACAAGGAGCAGGGCCAGAGCCCAGTGTCATACCATGGGACTATGTCACAAGGAGCAGGGCAAGAGCCCAGTGTCAGGCCATTGGATTATGTCACAAGGGTTAGGGCCAGAGCCCAGTGTCAGACCATGAGACCATGGCACAAGGAGCAGGGCCAGAGCCCAGTGACAGACGATGTCACAAGGAGCAGGGCCAGAGCCCAGTGGCAGACCATTGGATTATGTCACAAGGAGCAGGGCCAGAGCCCAGTGACAGACGATGTCACAAGGAGCAGGGCCAGAGCCCAGTGTCAGCCCATGGGACTATGTCACAAGGAGCAGGGCTAGAGCCCAGTGTCAGACCATTGGACTATGTCACAAGGAGCAGGGCCAAACCCAGTGTCAGACCATTGGACTATCTCACAAGGGGTAGGGCCAGAGCCCAGTGTCAGCCCATGGGACTATGTCACAAGGAGCAGGGCAAGAGCCCAGTGTCAGGCCATTGGATTATGTCACAAGGGTTAGGGCCAGAGCCCAGTGTCAGACCATGAGACCATGGCACAAGGAGCAGGGCCAGAGCCCAGTGTCATACCATGGGACTATGTCACAAGGAGCAGGGCCAGAGCCCCGTGTCAGACCATGGGACTATGTCACAAGGCGCAGGGCCAGAGCCCAGTGTCAGACCATGAGACCATGGCACAAGGAGCAGGGCCAGAGCCCAGTGTGAGACCATGGGACTATCTCACAAGGAGCAGGGCCAGAGCCCAGAATCAGACCATGGGACTATGTCACAAGGAGCAGGGCCAGAGCCAAGTGTCAGACCATGGGACTATGTCACAAGGAGCAGGGCCAGAGCCCAGTGGCAGACCATTGGATTATGTCACAAGGAGCAGGGCCAGAGCCCAGTGACAGACGATGTCACAAGGAGCAGGGCCAGAGCCCAGTGTTAGACCATGTCACAAGGAGCAGGGCCAGAGCCCAGTGGCAGACCATTGGATTATGTCACAAGGAGCAGGGCCAGAGCCCAGTGGCAGACCATTGGATTATGTCACAAGGAGCAGGGCCAGAGCCCAGTGTTAGACCATGTCACAAGGAGCAGGGCCAGAGACCAGTGTCAGACCATGGGACTATCTCACAAGGAGCAGGGCCAGAGACCAGAATCAGACCATGGGACTATGTCACAAGGAGCCGGGCCAGAGCCCAGTGTCAGGCCATTGGATTATGTCACAAGGAGCAGGGCCAGAGCCCAGTGACAGACGATGTCACAAGGAGCAGGGCCAGAGCCCAGTGGCAGACCATTGGATTATGTCACAAGGAGCAGGGCCAGAGCCCAGTGTCATACCATGGGACTATGTCACAAGGAGCAGGGCCATAGCCCAGTGTCAGACCATGTCACAAGGAGCAGGGCCAGAGACCAGTGTCAGACCATGGGACTATCTCACAACGAGCAGGGCCAGAGTCCAGTGTCAGACCATTGGATTATCTCACAAGGAGCAGGGCCAGAGACCAGAATCAGACCATGGGACTATGTCACAAGGAGCCGGGCCAGAGCCCAGTGTCAGGCCATTGGATTAGGTCACAAGGGGTAGGGCCAGAGCCCAGTGTCAGACCGTGGGACTATGTCACAAGGAGCAGGGCCAGAGCCCAGTGGCAGACCATGGGACTATGTCACAAGGAGCAGGGCCATAGCCCAGTGTCAGACCATGTCACAAGGAGCAGGGCCAGAGCCCAGTGTCAGGCCATTGGACTATGTCACAAGGGGTAGGGCCAGAGCCCAGTGTCAGCCCATGGGACTATGTCACAAGGAGCAGGGCTAGAGCCCAGTGTCAGACCATTGGACTATGTCACAAGGGGCAGGGCCAGAGCCCAGTGTCAGACCATTGAACTATGTCACAAGGAGCAGGGCCAAACCCAGTGTCAGACCATTGGACTATCTCAAACGGAGCAGGGCCAGAGGCCAGTGTCAGACCATGGGTCTATGTCACAAGGAGTAGGGCCAGAGCCCAGTGTCAGACCATGGGACGATGTCACAAGGAGCAGGGCCAGAGCCCAGTGACAGACGATGTCACAAGGAGCAGGGCCAGAGCCCAGTGTTAGACCATGTCACAAGGAGCAGGGCCAGAGCCCAGTGTCAGGCCATTGGATTATGTCACAAGGAGTAGGGCCAGAGCCCAGTGTCAGACCATGAGACCATGGCACAAGGAGCAGGGCCAGAGCCCAGTGACAGACGATGTCACAAGGAGCAGGGCCAGAGCCCAGTGTCATACCATGGGACTATGTCACAAGGAGCAGGGCCAGAGCCCAGTGTCAGGCCATTGGATTATGTCACAAGGGGTAGGGCCAGAGCCCAGTGTCAGACCATGAGACTATGGCACAAGGAGCAGGGCCAGAGCCCAGTGTCAGACCATTGGACTATGTCACAAGGAGCAGGGACAGAGCCCAGTGTCAGACCATGGGACGATGTCACAAGGAGCAGGGCCAGAGCCCGGTGTCAATCTTGATGGCTTGATTATGTGTGTCCCTACATGATCATAATTCTTGGGATTATGTCACAAGGAGCAGGGCCAGCGCCCAGTGTCAATCTTGATGGCTTGATCATGTAGGGACATACATAACCAAGCCATCAAGATTGACACTGGGCGCTGGCCCTGCTCCTTGTGACATAGTCCCAGTGTCAGACCATGGGACTATGTCACAAGGAGCAGGGCCAGAGCCCAGTGTCAATCTTGATGGCTTGATTATGTATGTCCCTACATGATCATAATTCTTGTGACCAGGCAAGCTGAAATCTAAAAGTAGTACTTAGGCACTTAACTTTCTAAATTTAATCCCAAAGGGTGAACCTATTGAAGGTAATGGGATATTTGAATTGTACTGAAACTTTACCCATTATAGAGATTATATAATCCTGACATGGAACATTTACATCAACACTTTGATTTATGGATTATTATAACTTTTATAAACCTCAGTACACGGGGGTTAGGTTCCTTCTTTACCTTGTCCAGTCTGTGATACCAGTTCAGCAGCCCCCCCTATAGGTTTGGTGAAGGCTCCGACCAGTCCTTTGCCTACCCCTGTCATAACTCCTGTGGCTGCTGCGGACGTGGACTTTGGCCGCTCATCTGCTTCTTGATTGGAAATAATATTCTGGATAGGTTGGTCAGCTATTCCAGCAACAGCCCCTGTGTATAGACAACACTAATCTCACCACAGGTATTATCATCAACAACATTAAGGGCCAAAGCATGTGATCTCTTTTATGTATGTAGGAAACTTATGCTGAAATATGTTGACCCCCAAAGTGTGCCAATAACTGATAAATTCCCTTTTCATCTCCTACATAATAAACCTATGTCAAAGGAACGAGCCCTATGATACTAAGGTTGATAAAGCTGTCATTCATGTAAAGCTCCTCCCTGATAAACCCAAATGAAAGCTGTTAGACCCTGTTTGACCCCTGACATAGTTAACTTATGCCAAAATTTGTGAACCCTTCTTTTACCCTTACCTTGTGATTCATGCCAAAGCATTTTAGACCTTTTTAGCTCTTACGTGATAAGCTAATGAAGCTTGCTCTGAGCTTGTTTGAGCCTTACCTAATAAGCTCATCCCGAGTCCAGTGAGTCCCTGTTTGAGACCACTAGATATCCCGTGGGGCTGATTTCGACGTCTCTCCTCTTGTCGTTGTTGGTGGGTTTGGTCAAGAGAAAGACGGTCCATATTCCGAGACACACTGGAGGCGAAACTTGTCACGGACATAATCATTCCTAAAAATAAAAAGGCATTTTACCTTTAGTTATAGGACCCACTTGTTCAACTCATATTTACATTAATGGATCTTAAAATGAAATTTATTTTGTTAAAATAACTTTTTATCGTCGTCGTATCACACCTTACAAATAAAGTTAATTTGACGGAACAATGGCCTAGATTTCAGGTTAACAGGGTATAAACACAAACCAGCAACCAGTTAAATTATAACTTCAGATCTGCTTTCTGACTTTCTGAAACCTGTTTTGATGAACTGTATATAATGTTATATTGAAGACACCCGGAGGTTGATGTAGCATCACATCAGCAGGAGCATGTACCCCAAAAAAACCTGACAAAATTGAATACCTGGGAAATCAAGGAATTTAATTTTCAAAACTGTTGTTTTCTTTAATTCTTTTTCATAAACTTAAGCAACTCATAGTACCAGTAAAACATATATTAACCTCCCTTGAGATTGAAAAATCCAGAAATGGAACAAAAAGTTGATTGAGATAAATTATCAACTTTCTCTGATCTGACTTATCCCCAAGGTCAACTTCATAATAACTTTTATTTCTATAATGTGTCGTTATAGTGTTAATTTACTGTGTACATGAAAATGGTGTATGACAATTCAAACAGAACCACATATAAACATTCTCTATACAATTGAACTATTCGTAAATTAATCTCACAGGTCACAAATTTTTGTACCAATGAAACTTTGCACACTTTTTAGTAACAAGAACAGATTGTAACTAGTATCAACCATAATAACTAGTAGCACATGTACACCTTATTCAAATGCTGTTAAGAATGTTCAGCCTCTGTCTTACCTGAAGAAATGTTTTTGACAAAAGATGTCATCCCATTGGACACTCCCGCCACAAATGCTCCTGGTCCCTGGGTCAAACCAGTGTAGGGCATCTTGACCAGATCCGCCACACCCGTCCCTATACTCCGCACCAGACCTGTGGGATTCCCCAGAATCTCCAGAGACCCCACAACGATTCCCACGCGGAACAGTGCTCCAGTGGCATAGTGCATCGCCAACACCCGCACCACTTGATGAGAGACACCACACACATCCTTTCGCTCAAACTTCCCAAAGGACAGTGGTGTGCGATCCGATGCTATAAAGAGTTTCAAAGAAGCATGAAGGCTGAAGAGTAATGAGATCGGCTGAATGCATAGATGTTCAATTTTCACGGGTGAGCTGAATGCCATTGACACACATCTTAAAGACTTCGGTAGCTTTTTCACCAATATACTCTTATTTTTCTGACTAGAGTTAGAAAGTTTTGTGGGTATCAAACCTTCTACTTCCTTCAAAAGTCTCAAAACAAAACCATCAGCGATGTTAGCTGTCGCTGCCTGTATACCAAGCTCCATCCTCTTTGTCACGGAATTGTTTAGGATGTCAGTTCCCACGACTACCTGGGCGTGTAGGAAACTTACAGACTTCAGGACGGCGAACTTCTCGGATATACTCAGATTCTGAAGGTTTGGCAGTGCTAGCTGTGATGGGTCTGGAATGTTTTGTGGCAAAAACAGTACAGGGAAGTCATGGAGACCCTTAGTGTGGAACAGCTGATTGTCCAATTGAATGACCCCAACACATGCAGATATGCATGAGTGACTTGCAGATTCATCAAAAGAAACCTGCCCAGAAGGAAAATAGGCCAGAAATAGCTCATCCATGGAAACTCGGAGAACTTCCGACACTTCTTCAGAGCTTGATGTTTCATCTTTTAGCGAGATGGTGAGATGTCGTAGTCTCACACCAACAGTCAAATCTATGCTGGCTACTGCAGGTCTTAACAGGTGTAAATCCTGCAAACTGTGTACAGGATGTGAGCTTTCACTGAAGCTGTTGTCTGGAGGGAGTTCCTCGGCTACCGTAGTAACAGTCCTTTGCTGTCCAGTGAGGCGGCTTCTGATCTCCTTAGCTGACACTTCAGCCTTGCTGATTGGTTCTATTGTAATGGATGTAACCATGGCAACTTTCCTGACCTTGACCTTGACATCTATACATCCTGGAATGGGCACAAACATTTCCATGTCAGAGTTCACGTCTATTGCACGGCTCCAAGAAAGACACTTTTCACTGGCACTTTGACCTTCAGTTTGGTTTTCACTTTTACTTTCATTTGACTTTTCCTGGATGTGTAGATCTTTACTGTTGACAGCGAAATGAAGACTTGGTAAACGGGTGTTGGAGATATCATCCTCAAATACACCATTGATAAGGCTTGGCGTATAGAAAACATTTTGTCGAACAGGGATAAATGGAGGTCCGCCCACTAACTCCGTCTCCTCCTGTACCGTTATGTCTAAAAACAGAAGCAGACAGTTTAATACTTGGAACCTGTCTATATACCTA